AGCCAAAAAATTTTTAAGGCACAGGGTGCTGACTAGATGCACAGTGTTTCTTCAGACTGTACCCTAATTGATTCGGCCCTTTAAGAGCGGACAACAATATGTTTAAGTCTTTCAAAGCTGCAGATGTTGTGATCCGTGCTGATTACTGCTAAGCGGCTTAGAGTCCTGCCGAGCATGGCTGAATTGCAGCAGAGAGAGGGGGGGGAGTGCTGTCAGACCATTGTGCTGACTTAGACAGGAAATGAGAGTGTGTCGACCTACAGACGAGATCTGGATGGGGACAGCAGGGTGAGGCCAGGGCATGGACAGCAGCAGAAGGGGTCTCTGTGTTACATACACACTTTTATGTAGACCTGATGGATGCCCATAGGAAAGAAATATCACAGATGATATTTAACATCTCAGGTGTTTCTCACATGTGCATAGACTTTCAGAAGAGCTGTCAATGAAACTGAGCTCAGATGTGACTGCAGACTTGGCAGTTAGAGATGAACTCAATATGAACATTTCTCAAAGGCCAAATGATATATCCACATTCATTTTAGCCTATATCTCTATACTCTTAAGGTTAGGGTTGCAAAGTGGCATACATTTTCCAGAAATTTTTGATACTTTCCAGGATTTTTGGGAAATTTTGGGAAAAGTTTCCAGAAATTAACAGAAAGGCCTATTTTCCAAACCTTTTGCAGCCATACGTAAGTCAAGTTTACACCAAGGACAAGAACTATAATGATAACTGGTCAATCAGAATCCAAAATGCTTTAGAGAGCTCAAGCATTTAAAGTGACAGATGACATAACTGCAGTGTGCACTTACAATAAACAGAACATTATTGTGCATTGATGTGAACACCATAGTTATCATTACACTAACTGTTTTGGATGTTAACAGGCCTTTACTGTAGACAATTGCCTCGTTTATTTTTTGTAAGGAATTTTAGGGGAAGCATCTGAGATACTTAAATGAAAATAACTTAGAGAAACCAATAAAATTTACTTAGCTAAAGGTTTGAAAATGTGAGATTCAACTACAGAGGTCTGTATTTTTCCCTCCCGTTTTTTTTACATTGTTAATCACAACATCTCTTGCACAACTGATATTATGTGCATTACTATCATATCTAATAAAGTTCTTCCTGAATAATGATTTCCTATTGGACAACAGTGGGTGTTCTTGTTTGGTATCTCAGAAATGTCATGTTCATGCCTGTTCCCTCTTTCCTGGTAATCTCTTTTCTTCTTGCTGTTATGAAGATCAGCATATGTGTAATGTGTGTGAGCATATCCACCCTTATTAATCTCTGTTTCGATGGACATTACTGGATGGATGGCCTCTGCCAACCTTGAACTGAAACGACTGTATAAAATGGACTGTCTCTCTATTTCTCAGAAGGCAGGGCTTAAGAGGATGGCTTGATTAGATATGTACTGCAGGCTGGTGCAGTTGTCCTGGGTCAGGCATGACGGATTCAAAGACAGGCAGGGTTACACTTTATGAAACGCACTGTGTGGCTCAGTAGCTCAGATTTATGAGGGACGTGCATGAATTTCAAATATGAATGAGTGTGTATTGAAGGTACTTAATATCTAGTGATATAGAAAATAACAGGCTGCACAATTTGAGGTATCATTCACATTGCCTTGACTTAATCACCCCTGTACATGAAGAATGCCTTGCATTTATTACCAGTTCAGGAGGTAGAGAGACGTCATGCCCATTGGATGTCATGCGAGTACATGTACGTCTGTCATTGTTCTTTTACAGCAGAAAAGTTGTGTTAAGTGCCTTGTCTTTTCAAAGTGTCTGTGGCTGATGCTGCCCTCTGTGTTACATACTGTGTGTGCGTGTTTTGTTGTTTTATTTAATTATTTTATTAAGCCAGTTTAAACCTGGTTAATGCAGAGTTAGACAAGAGTTTGATGGATGGATGGATGGAAGGAAGGTGTCTCAGCACTCTATAATCATTTCTGTCCCTGTGGAAGTGTGCATTGACTTACTAATGAAATGAATGGAAGTTTTGTTTTAAGGGCAGCTTTGATAACTTAATATGACTTTACAATGTTCTCTACAAGCACGTACAAGTACGTACTCCGATGACCCTTGCACTTGATTTGTGCACTAGGAAAACCTGTAGATAAGTAATATTTCAGCAGCAAGATGTTTGTACTTGAACCCACTGTGGCTGATAACTACTTTTTTAATATAAAATTATAAAAAAATGGCCTTGTAAGAGTAATTAATATGTGATTTCAACTAGGGTTGGGCGACGTCTACAAAATTGGCATCGGACGATGTCTACAGTGAAACATCGCGATGGACGATGACACCGGCGGGGGTGGAGTTAGGGGGTGTGCCTGAAGCATGAATCCTTATAAGGGAAAACATGATTCCTAACACCGTGTCTACTCCGGACGCGAGCGGTGCGAAAAAATACTATAGAACCACTGATCTATAATAGAGATTCATTATATATAGATCAGTCTATAGAACTCATTATAATCAGTGATGTTGTCTACACTTGATGCGGTGTGGCGCGACACGACAAATCCCCGACAGTAAACTGCTGTCGATTTCTGTTTATGACGTGCTGACACAAATTTCAAATGATTTTCAACGGTCGCTTTGTCACGTCCAGTGTAGACTTTAGCTGATGCGGCGCGACACGACAAATCCCCGACAGTAAACTGCTGTCGATTTCTGTTTATGACGTGCTGACACAAATTTCAAATGATTTTCAACGGTCGCTTTGTCACGTCCAGTGTAGACTTTAGCTGATGCGGCGCGACACGACAACTGTCGCGTCCGGTGCAGACACAGTGTAATGGTTGCCTGTAGGGTTGAAATGATTCCTTGAATACATTGCGTAACTCTAATACAAAAAATCATCGAGGCAAATGATTTGCCTCTAGGCTTCATTCAGTCCATTTACTGTAACTACACACGGAACACCGTGTTTCCCCACGGACCATTATTACCGGATAAACGCTGGACCAGACCATGGATTGTATAAAAACAGGGACCAGACTTTTTTTTTAAAAGTGCTGGACATATTTAAGACCGTTAATCAATATGGTGGCTAGTTATAATGTCCCTACGTTAGCTATGTTTTGTGAAAGACTAAACGCCATTGTGCATAAAAATACCACAGAAAGAAAGTTAGTCAATATCACACGAAGAGTGCCAGTTTTCACCTCTAAAATCAGCATGATTACAAATGTGATTTTATTCAACAGTTCAATAAACAAGAAGATAATATTATAAGACTTGCGTTTTAGACACTATGTTGCCTGTTTTTGCTTTATTTTGCCAAAAAAAAAATCCAAACACAGCCACAGCGCTGTTTTACTTCTCTGTGCAACATGACAATTGCAAAGATGAATTTTGATACTGATATCATTTGCTTGGTAACAGCCCAAATGTCTTTTATTCTAATTGACTGATTAAATGTAAGAATTTGACTCAAAAGATGATGCACACTTTTAGAAAAAAAGGCGTTATAAAGGTAAAAATGCCCATAAAATTTAAAAATTAATTTAAACTTATTGGAACAGATTCATTTCTATCACTGCTGTGAACTGACCAGCACACAGAATATGAAGGATAATAAAAAACAAGTATTACACACACACACACACACCAGTACGTATAGGGATATTTAAGAGGGGTTATTCTCCAAATAACTCTAATTTCATGTTGCAGAAAAATGTGTTTAAAAATTTAGTATGGACTCTTGTTCTTGTTCCAAGTTACCTTCCTGTCCACTGATTTTTGCCTCTCACAAAAGCAACAAAGCCTTCCAAGAAGACAGTAAAGGCTTATGCTTGAGCTTTAGTTAGGCTGAAACTTGAAAGTTAAGTTGCACGACATAAATGCAATGTTTAGGTATTATTATTATTTTTATTACTATTATTTTGATTTATGCCTTAGTTTTAGTTTGTACTGTTTACCTTTTAAAAGTAATGTGAAATAGATTTTTGTATTTTTATTTATTTATTTTATTTTTTTATTAATATATTTGTATTTGCATTTTGAATGCAATTTGGCAATTGAAATACATTAAATGAGTTTATTTTTCACAGTTATTAATTTATGCAATTTCAGCAATAAAAATTAAAATTTTTCTAAAAAGAAAACAAATTAGTTGTTTATTTAAGAGATCTATCTTATTATCTCTTGTATATTTAGTATTGCTCTTTAATAAAGAACAATTACTTCTTATCCGATTACTCGATTAATCGATGGAATAATCTGCAGAATACTCGATTACTAAAATAATCGATAGCTACAGCCCTAGTTGCCTGTTACATTATAGTACATACAATTTCACTTACCACATAAACAGAGTAAGGTGAGATGACTGAGGACCATGCCGAATGATTTGCAGATCCTCAGTACCACTGACAAACATATAAAATGTGAGGCAAGTACTGCCGCATTTTCTTTCCGAACATGATATTGGGATGCGGGAGGAATGGTGGGGGGGAGGGGGCGTCACGATGCATCGTCTATCGGCCCAACCCTAATTTCAACTACAATTATAATGCATGCTTGTTTTTGCTTGGAGTCAGCAAAGACTATTCAGATTGCAAGCTCACAACTCAAAATATTATCAACTCAAACTGAAATGATAAAAATTCTAATTATACAAATTAAATATTTTAATTCCTATTTACTTTATTAGTATTATTTATTTATTAAACGTGGGTGTTATAAAATCACTGTAAATCACAGCGCTGTGTGGCTCATACTTTTACTGTGGCATTATGGATTCAGCAGCAAATAGCGGTGTAGGAAACACTGCTTTGATATTGTGTTCATGAGACTACTGCAGCTCTCTGCCCTGTGTTATTTATGCATTTAGTGTTTGAGGTTTGACTCATTCACCCTGGGTAGCTTTTCACTCTTTCTCTCTTTCACTCTGTCTTAAGGTCTTCTGTACTTTTGCTCCTGCTCAAACTAGGTCTTTTGTTCCTTTTTTTCACAATGCATTGCCTAATCAGAAGAGGCAGCATGTAGGTACCCTGACACAACACACACGCCTGAAATGGCTGCATGATTCACTCTTTATTTGTCTTTTATCTCTCTTGTACCACAGAATGATGTTGATATGAGAACATCGTGTGCTAACAACATTTTGTTTTTGACATCTTTTCTCATTTTTTTTCTCATGTTGATTGAACATCCACTTGCGATATGCTTTCACTGTTTCCCATTAATATTTTTGTTTTATTTTGTTTGGTATTCATCTTCATGGAAGAATATTTCAGTAATATTTTTTTCTGTGTGATCTTTTATTTTAATTTTTTATTAACCAATATGGTTTGATATTTTGTGGTGTTTTTATTTCATTTATTGTGTTCATCAGATACTTTCTTGCACCTTTAGCTTGACTGTCGGCCCATCTTGTTCATCATTTGTTTTCATTTTTCTCTCTACCTCCTTTCTTCTCTTCCCTGCACCCATGTCAGGCTGCATGGTGTCCTGATATCAGGTGCAAAAGCATTACAGTGACAATTTAATCTATTTCCTCTTTCTATCTCTCTCAAGGGGATGTGCTTTTTCAGATGGCGGAGGTTCACAGACAGATCCAGATGCAGCTAGAGGACATGGTGAGTATCATTAACTTGATGAAGATCGTATTGCCTCATAGGCTCACATTTTCTCATTACATTTTCTCACAACATGACTGAATCAATCAGGCTGTATCTAAGAGTCTCCATTAGCCTCCAGGGTAAGGAAGTGGAAGGGAGCGGTGTCTCAAAATGTCACATCGACTCAGACGCTTCCGTATATACATGAAGGACAATAGACCACGGTCACATGCGTAAACACAGCAACTCAGACAAAGCACAGACTTTCCTGAGCTGTGTGGCACAGCTGCAGATGTTAAACAAACTGTATCTGAGGCCTTCTGATAATGATAACAGGGCAGAAACTGGAGTAAACGTCTGTTAGAGAGTACATTATGGATTAGTTGTGTTTGGTGTAACCAGATGCAGAATTCTCTTGTCATATGAGAGGAAAATTGCTTTGTGTATATAATATAAACTATATTTGTCTACTGTAATTTCCAGCTGAAATCATTCCACAATGAACTGCTCACAGAACTGGAGAAAAAAGTGGAATTGGATGTTCGCTACTTAAATGTAAGTATATAAACATACAAAATCACAAATATTTAGGTTGTGATCACTTTCGCGATATTCTGCCAAAATTTAGTGGATGAAAAAAATCTGTTGCCTGTGGTCAATAGTGTAGCGATGTATGAAGTGCAGTTCACACATGGTTGCACTCTATTTTATTTTAATATAAGGGAACTACATGGGTTAAGGTTAGGCTTAGGGGTAGGTTCAGGATTAGGATCTAGCTATTACCCAGTTATTGTAATCACTATAATAAGCACATAGTATGCACGTGTGAAACAGGACTGTAAAATATTACTGGTCACTTTCAAACCAAGCAGAATCTGTTGGTCAATGCAAACCAAGTTGAACCAGTATGTTAACTTTTTCCCATTTCGGAATTTTTCTATCACCTAACTAAGCACTGTTCTGTTCTTTTTCTTTATTTAATTGTTTTAAAACACATACAGTCACGTCCTATAAGAACTAGATTGATTCCTAATTTTACTGAATTGGCCTTATCCACCTCCAAATAATATGTCTTTTAAAAGCAATAATTGAGTTTACTGCATGTAATGACAGCTAGAGTATTAGCGGCATTACACCAACATCTTCTAAAAGGCTCTTCTCGCCTGTATGAGGGGAAAGTGTTTTTTTTTTTCCTTTTTACTTGAGAGAAATCTTTTTACATGCATGAAAGATCAGCTGTGCATCTGAAATGAGACTTTCAGCTTCGAAGATTAAGAAGTCTTCTTCCCGGGGTCTCTAACAGGCTTGTTTGTAAATGCATTAGATTGACCCTCAGCTTCTTGGCAAGAAATCAAATCCACATTTATTCAGTCACTCATTTGCAGAATTGACGGAAATTAACTACGCTCCCATGCTTTCTGTTCCACACATAGTAAGGATTGCACATCAGGCTCAGTCAAATGTAGCAGAAGGCTTTGGCAGTGAAGGCTAGTGAAAACAAAGATGCATGGTCTGAAACACAATGAATCTGTGAAGCAGGGGGTTCTGGGAAGCACAATGAAAGACCTGATTGGGCTGACTCAGCCAAGTTCCCATTAGTAAAGAAGAACGTGTGATGACCTTCATGTCTTTTCAATTCTGGGTTCAGGTCAGTTAAACATTGTTAAGAAACAGTCGACTGAACATTTATTCTAAGCTTTAAAGCTCAGGATATGTTGAGAATAAAGAAATCAAGCATACTACGAGAGAGCCCAATCTCATTGGCATTTATCCACTTGAGGTCTTTCTGGAATAGATGCTTGATCAAAATTTTTGAAATACAAACATTAAGTTGCTCGACTTGTCCGTTTTGGATATTGTTAGGTTTGATTGTGATGAGAGCGGTGTTATTTCATATGGTAGGCAGCTCTGAAGAAATACCAGACGGAACACAAAAATAAAGGAGAGAGTCTTGAGAAGTGCCAGGCTGAGCTGAAGAAACTGCGCAGGAAGAGTCAAGGCAGCAAGAACCCCTCCAAATATGGAGACAAGGAGATGCAGGTGAGTCAGTGCTGCTCTTCAAATTTCAACAAACGAAACTTTTTGGTGGACAAGTTATGCCAAAAATGAAAATTCTGTCACCATTTATTCAACCCTCATATCTTTCCAAACACTTACGACCACCTTTTGTGTAAAACAAATGGGGATGTTTTGAAGAATATAATTGTTCGCTTTTTCCCAAAGATCTAAACATCTTATCTACAGCTCTATCATATGAAATATTACAAATGAGCTGCATCAAGCACATTTATGATACTTTTTCAGGTGCATTGCATCCTTTTTGAAGCTTGAAAGCTCTAGTCTTCATTCATTATAATCGCATGGAAAAGAGAGTCCGGTCTTTTCAATGCAATGTTAAGTGGCAATCTTAATATCTTCTCCTTTTTTGTTGCATGGAAGAAAGTAAGGCAGATCTGAAACAACATGAGGCTGAGTAAATGATGAGAGAATTTATTTTTGGATTAACTCTTTCTTAAAGAGTTCTCTCAGTGTACAGAAGACAAGTATAAATCAATTCAAGTCTTGAAAATGTTGTCTGTGCATTCTGAGTTTGGCAGTAGATTGGGATGCTCCAGAACTTGAGCATTGAATTTGTTTGTGATGTTTGTGCAGTTCGTAACATCCAACTGAGACTTCATGCTGGGATGAAATATTGTGGGAATTCCTAAATCCGTGTTTCTATAAATAATCTCTATAAATCCCCGTTTCTCGCTTTACTGTTTGAACATACACCTTTGAACACACTTGAGAGGGAATGAGAAATTAAACATGAGCATGAATGTTAAAACTTTATCATTGGCTACAGTGCTGTTGGCTATTCACACAAAATTTACAACATATTTTTGCTTTGCTATAATTGCAATATGATTTATAACAAAAAATTATTTGACAGTCAAAAGACTAATTAAAAAACATTTGCAGACAATATGGTTATCCACAAGCTTTTTTCAGAGCCTATTAAAATCTTTACAAGAATTTTTCACACATTATGGATCTACAGGGTTTATTAATGTTTTTATTATCTTATTTCTGGATAAAGGTGTATTTTTATAATCTGATATGATGTTGCTCTTTTCATGCTCCTGCATTGCATTGAACACAGAAAAAATTATTCCAGTTTTAGTCTGTTTGGCTCTTTAAGTGCTAAAGAAAATCCCACTCTGTTTGGCTGAAGTCCTTTCATACAATTTTGTTTTGTTCATCGAGGCCTCATTGTACGGGGGCTGATTTGTCGGGGCCGCTGTTTGTTTTGAATGTACGCCTCTCACTACTGTCGTCACCAGGAGCGAGGTCATGGGGAAGTGGGTGTGTTGTGCTGTGTGCTGACCTGGGGTCAGTTCATGCCATTAGCAGTAGGTGTGCTCCTCATAGTGGCGTAGGAACGTGCTGTTGCATAAAACGCTGTGGGCTCTGCTTGCTTGTTAAACGCACTCCACAGGTGTGTATAAAAGAAAACAGAGAAGGAAGGTGAGTGGGTTGTTTAAATGAATTACTTAAACTAACTGTTCCGGGGTCTAACAAAAACTGTAGGAAGATCAGAGTGAACCAAACAACAGAGATTTGTTATTCTGTATCAAGGTTGGCCAAAATCCATAATTTAAGAATTTGCTTCCTTTGAGTCCATTAGTGTAAATTTGAATTAAATTGTGCTTAGCAGGAAGTTGAGTTTGAGTTGAGAAATTTAAAATGGAATGACAGGAAAAGGAATTTATTGAACTGTAATTAAAAGAAATGAAGCTGCTTCATGTTGTTTGGCTACATTTTGAAAACTTCAAATAAAGCAGTCTGGAAAATTACAATTAGGAAAAATATTCTGGTGTTCTTTCACCTGGTAATTAAGTGATGTTGTTTTTAATTATATAAAATATAATATAACGCTAGATTAAATTATATTTATGCTAAAAAGGCAATATTTATTTTCAGCAGTTATAGGCATTTTGAAATTCATTTGAATTCTACTGCCTGTTCTGTATATGCTGTTTTATGTCTTAAATCTTGGCCTTCCATAGACCTCGACAGATTCAGTGCCAAGCAGAAACAGGCTCAGATGCACTTGTTTTCTTGACTTATGATCAAAGGTCAAAAGTTTGATGCAGTGTGCGGCTCTGATGTGGGAAATGCATTTAGAAAACAGATGGAAATCACATTCTGATTGTTAGTTTAGCTTGTGCCTCACAGCTCTAGGTGGCACGGAGCTTCAGGGGAAAAAAACCTGATATTTGGAACTGTAAGTTAATACGTCTCTGGCCTCAGCTCATATACCCCAGACAATCCCCAGGATTTTTTTATTTATTTATTTCCTTTTTTTTTTTTTTTTTTTGAGCAGTTTACTAGATGGGAAAGCTTAGATTTACCCCTGAGAAAACACTGTATGTGTAAACCCTTCCCATGGTTCCCTACATGTGGCAACTCTCTCATGAGATTTCTTAAATGTCAGATTTCTATGAATGTAATTTTTTTCTGTAATAGCTTTTGTCAATTATTTATAGCCATGTGTATGTGTTCATTCCACTTAGCGGCTCAGTATGAACCGTGGATGAATTTTACATGTGGGGCTCATGGTCCCTGCTGTGCGTCATGCTGCGGAGAGTCTGGTTTCAGAGATGGCATGAGCAGAACACTGCAAAACTCACTACACCAAGCCGAGGACAATCTTTCAAAGGCGTGAATAGTGGTACCATATCGGTTATTGACCTATTTCATGGATAATGTTATAGAGTATTGGATATATAATTGTACATGGTAATTTCCCATATTTTTTATTTAGATAAATTGAGCTTTAGAGGAGGCAAAGATTTTCACAATTGTTAAAACATAGCATGTTTCGTTTTATATAAGAAACACCGTTGTTTCAGTTTTCTCCCTGATTACTAGAGAGAAATACTGGTCTGTTCCAGATCCCCTGCATGACTGATGCCAATATTAATACCATGACCAATGTAATGCAGTGCAGTCGTTTCTCTCTTTTTGTCCCTGAGGAATCAATGCACAGAAATGATGGCGCATTTCAGTCGTATCCTACATTCATATTCAGCACGTGTTAAAATGAGGCCAACCGGAGGGCAGGCAGATTGATTTGAACTGGAGTGTCACTTATGATTTCAGGCTGCAGTAGTGTAGGATATGGCCCCACATTATATCATTTTTGTGTGTGTATGTGTATGTACATTAGTATTCCTCTTGGATACCAAACTAAAGGCACATAGTGCAGAAATTTCTATCTAAATATGATTTCTGAACCCATTTAGCCTTACCCCACCAAACTGAGCCATATGGCAACACACTGCAGCATACAAACACACTATTTACCAACTCTAGTGTAAACCTGTGTTTATCTGTGTGTTGCAGTGTTTTTAGCCTGACAGTGTTTACTGTTGCTTAGTTGAGTATGATCATGTCAGCTACTCAACATGTCAGGTACTTAACGTCATGCTAATCATGCTGCTTGTCCATTACCTGAATCACTGGGAGATTATAAATATAGATGTTGTTTTTTTTTGCCATGCTCCTGTATTTGTAATATCTGATGGTACAAATATAGTTTATGCAGATTAGTCATTTAAATAAATCATTGCTGAACCTCTGTTGCCTCAGGCCATATTGCAGTAAATATCTATGAAAGCTGACAGAAAAAAACATTGGTTTTCATCCAAGTAGGTAAAATAAAGCAAATTACTACCAGAATTTGCTACTGATTGTGCACAATGTGTATCTAGTGTAGGGTCATTTTGGTAATTGTAAGATGCAGAAATACATTATACATTTGAGTATTGCCTGTGCGACAACATATTTTTATACTCGTACCTGGCAACAGACTTGCGCTGGTTCTACGTCTGCAGTTGTGTAAGTGCACTCGCTGGACCTCAACATTTAATCTTAGCGTGTGGCTTGTACATGAACTGTACATGTAAATGTACTCTTCATGACTCATTAATAGGAGGAGAAAAGGGGTCCTGACCATGGGTCATTAAATACAAAGAAGTATAGTGCTGTCATTATCCAGAAAGAATAAGACCGACGTCATATCTGATCCATTAGTGCACAAAACACGCAGTCTACATGCGGATGTGGGCTACGACGATGTTCAAGTTGAAAAATATTAATTTTAAAAAGATATTAAATTACTTCTGCTTACATATACAGCTTATATATAACATTCAAAAGTTATGTTATAATAATAAAAATAAATAAAAAATCTTACTGACTGCAACTTTTAGTGTACAGTATATGCTAGTTTGTCTCTAAAAAGTAATTTTAAGTTGCTTTTTAAGGGTGTTCCAAAAGGAAGAGAAATGCCTTCATAATCACTTTTTTGCCAAGTATGTAGTTTCTAATTTTGTAAGATCCTGAAAAGAACAGAGGAGAAGTGTAACCACCATGCTTTGACCTCAGTGTTTTCTTTCTTGTCACCTAGAATTTTTGATACGCAAATCTCAGTTCACTTTAGTTACAAGTCACAAGCAGAAGTCTTTCAAGCTTGATAAAATGATGTGGCTCACCCTTTGGGTTGCTGCTATGTGCAAAAATATTTAGCGTGCAGCTGTTTTGGTGTGCTGATCATGCTACCTGTCAGCAGTGTGTCCAAATTCCCACTCATGATCAGAGAGAATCCTGGAAATGCTACAGTTTACATCTAGTGTTTTACCTACAGGCTTATTACATCTAAACTAGCTTGAGAACTCATTATCTGCTTTTAGATTTGACACTACAACATCTGTTTCAATGCTGAGGCGTTTTTAGAATCTCTTAATTTTGTTGTTTTTTTCCCCTTTTTCATCTCTCACATTCTTTCCCACATGAGTTTAATGCAAAAGTATTACAAACAAGTCTATCTGATGTACATTAGAGCAACTAAACCTACAAAACTATTTGTTCTGGTGCTGGTGTCTAAGACCAGATGTGTACCAAATGAGTTTCAAACCCTGGATGAAGCGTTGCTTTATTCATTTCAGTTGTGCAAGGCACAAAACCCATGAAACGCAAAGACTGAGAGTCTGAGTGAACATATTGTACACATTCATACATTACTGTGAACCCATAACACATTTTTGCATGATGCAATGACCTTTTCTAACTAATAATAGACTTGCAAACAGTGATTCCAGCCTTGTTCATTAACACTTGGTAGGAAGAATCAGCATAACTCACTGTGATACCACGATACCTACACAGGTTGAATAACCTTACGAAGTTTCACTTTGTGCGTGCAGTTTGGATTACATCCAGTTCCTACAAGGTGTATGTCCTTGTTAGATGATGTTTTGGCTGTGGCACAATCTTTACAGAGGCGGTAGCCTTGGTAGCTTTTATGTTGTGATTCATACTTGATTTGGATGTTTTATCATTTTACTATTGAATGCTAAATGATGAACATGACCTTCTTTGTTACTTGGATTCTCTGATCAAAACAAACGGGCCGGTTAAATTCAGCCCTCACCAGCTTTGCATGCTATGGATCATTGAGCTTTAGCATTCCCATTTGCTTTCATACAATGAGAGAAACAGCAAGCCTACATGGTTGCCATTTGAAATGTACGGTTTCTCCTAGCATGGCCGTCACTACATCAGGCTGCGTCAAACTGGGGCATTGTTTGTCATTTTTTATGTCTGCTTTACGCCACCTTCCCTGTCCCTCAGTACGTCGAGACCATCAGCAGCAAACAAAATGAGCTGGATAACTACATCTCTGAGAGCTACAAGAACGCCCTGTCCGAAGAGAGACGGAGGTATTGCTTCCTCGTTGACCGTCAATGTGCATTGGCCAAAACAAGCAACGCCTACCACACCAAGGTGAGATTTCACATCATGCTGAAGAAATTTTGGGTCGCAGAAACACTGAAATTCAGATAAAGTAAAAATTGTGTTAAGCATGCATTTTAGCCATTATTTGCACATTTAAATGTGTTAAAGACAACATGAAATGCCATTTACAACATATTTAGCTCTCGCATTATGACATATTTTATAATTAATACAAATTTGGTTGGATGACTTGGTCAGTTAAATTGATAAAGCCTTATGTCAAAGATATAAGTTTTGATTACATGTTGTCTTTAACCATCAATCATGTAATGTATGTATTCAGATCATATACTATAAATAATAAGTATCCATAAATGATATACTTGGACAACTCCATACTTTGTTTTCAGTTGTTTCTGCTCCCAAGTCCCATTTAGTCAGTCATTCATTCCATTTCAGTGCTGATCATTCCGCCATGCTTGCTAGAGAATGTGCTATACTGTGTATTTTGAGAAAGTTTCTTAATTTGGGTCCAAAATGCTCTGTATGTAAATGCTTGTGCTGTACAATTGTGTTTTGTACAGTATACAATGCAAAATGATTTATAGCCAAGACTACATTTGATTGCTTATCAATTGAATCAAAGAGATTTAATCAAGGTGGTGCCACCAATATATAAAACACAAGGGTGAAGGATGATTATTCTTTTTAGAACATTACATTCACACTGAACAAGAATAGAGCAGAGATCTGGTGGTATCTGGTGGATTCACCAGCATGCAGAAGAAGACCAGTCATTCCCGCGTAAGCGAGATTCACTCCTCTACTGTGACGCCCACGCTTCAGAGTTGGTGATAGACAGAGCGTTGGGAGCAATGATGGCAAGAGAAGCAGAAGAAAAAGGGAGGGCCAGGCAGAGAGTGGCCCACTTTTACAAGAACAGACTGTTCAGACGATAATCACTGTTTTCATGTATGTGTGTAGGAAGACTCATACTGAAGAAATTTCTCTGCAGGCAACTGCAAAAACATTTTAGACAAAGACAAAGAGGCACTACCTCACAGTGGAAAATTGAATTGGGGTTTAGTCTATGTAGTACTACTTTATTATCCACTTTTGTGAGAACAGGAAGAGCGAAGTGACGTGAACAAAACTGACCATCTGCCAGAGTTTGTCATGGCTGGATCTTAACACTGTCACCCACAACAGTCATGGTACTTGATACTTACTCACTCACTCGTCTGCAACTGAGGGCAGAAGGAACAAAGAGAGGATAAAAACTCTCTCATGGTCAGATGACTAAGAGATTTTACCACTGGGAAGAAAATTGAAAAGAAACCTTTTAAACACCTAATGAAATTTGCAAGTTTGAAGGGTTCACAGATTTCTCAGGAACTAATAGGCAGTTAGTATTGGTCTCTGAATTGAGAGACCACTGCTAACTGCCTATTAGCAAGATTTAGCATATGCTTTTATCCAAAGTAATTCACTGTGCACTTATTGCAGGGTCATTCCTCATGGATCAACTTGAGATCAAGTGCATTACTGTTTGAGGGGTTTGAGCTAGAAACAAGATATTTAGGGTCTTTAATATTAGTATACATTAGTGTTTAATCAAGGATAGTAAGTCATACAGGTTTGGAACAAAATGTGTAAATAATGACAGAACTTTCATTTTTAGCTAAACTGTCCTTTCAAAACAATGTTAAAATCTGTGGCTGCTGAATCTTATGACAATACACATGATATGTCCTGCTACTCTTGAAACTTTTGGATCAGCATAAAGTCCGGATGAAACGGAAACTGCGCTCATCTTTTATTTTTCTATTGTGACGTATATATATCAGAATGAAATGGCTTCTTAAAAAAATTTAGGTTTGGACTTGATTTTGTCCATTAGGAATCGATTGGATTGTTGTTATTTGCAAAATCATGCGATCTCATGTGAGTGACAGGTTGCTAGAGGGGAGAGATTATTGTCCCACCCTTTGCGTCGGTGCACACATCATCAGAGAAGAGATGCCTTAGCGAAGGGTAGGAGAATTTTTTGTTTTTATCACAAGGGCAGTTCATTTTATATTTAAAAAATATGTACACAGATATTTAATTTATAATAAACACTGCAATATTCATAAAAATAAGAATTGTCCATTTTAATTTCATGGTGACTAAGATTTGCCAGTTTGCACTCCTGAAGAGTGTTAGCGTTTTTGCTTTTATGAACTCGATGAGGTCGTGACGCAGTCTGCAGGTGCTCAGACAGGCAGGCAGGTGATAATTGCTTTGTGTAGGGTGGTATGTGGTTGTGACTTAGAAAAAGACCGTAGGGGCTCAGTAGTACTGACCTGTGCCAGTCAAAAACAGACTATGGAGGTATTATAAGTACAGAGCAAAGGAGAGTGAGGAAAAAAAGATTTTGGCATGTTACAAAGCTGTAGTCATTTAGAAGACCTTTCATCCAATACAATGTGTAGTACATTTACCACACTTATGTTAAAGGAACTTTGCACTTAACCAAAATTTGGTGGATGCAGGTAGATTTTTAGCGTAACCTTTAGTGTACGTTTTAGGTGAACTATCCCTTTAAATAAAAACAACAAAAAATGTTGCAACACGTCAAATTGTTGATTAACTTTTCATTTGTCACATCTCTTTGAAACTTGGCTCTTCAGTTTTTTAAATAAGCATCCATGTACTGCTCAAACAGATGATCTGAATTACAGAAAAGAGTCCAAAGATAAAGTTGCACTTCCTGTGCTCTACATTCAGAGGTCTCCAGGCATTCCTCATCTCTCTTACTGGTCGTAGAGCTCAGCCAGGCTCACTGCCTGTGCATAGGGCAGTGTAATGAGGCAATTTCAGGCTTCAACCTACAGGGAGGGGAGGTTGTCAGGATAGAGAGGGATGTCTCAGAGCTTCAGAGGAACGCGAGGTGAGGAGGGATCACTTTATCACACTTTATCGCATTCCTTCTCCCTATCAGTCCATCAACTGAAGAGCTCACCTCTGAAACCTCAGCTATATATTCACAGAGAGAGTCTTTATTTGGTCTGTTATCTTTGATTTGCCAACATGGGTTTTCTAGACTAATCTAAATTATTCTCTCACAGTTGTGTAAAGCTTGCATCACTTATGCTAGGTGCTAATACTAGTTGTGGCGCTGTTTGTTTGTTTTTAGGGCAGAGACTTGCTGACGCAAAAGATCCCATTGTGGCAACAAGCGTGTGCCGATCCAAATAAACTCCCAGAGCGGGCAATGCTTCTAGCTCAGCAAATGGGCTCAGGAGCGACTGGGACGCTGGGACCCAGTGTCCACCACACCTCTAAATCTAGCCTGACCATCTCAGACCCCATCCCTGGGGCCAAGCCACTTCCTGTGCCACCTGAGCTCGCAGCTCTCATGGGGAACCAACAGACGGTGAGTTAGAATCCCAGTCTGACCCAAATAAAAAAAAATGTGAGCCACAAAATAATGCAGTGTCTTAACTGCACTAAGATAATTTGTAAATGGTTGCATTAATGATGAGTATAATTACATCCTGGGGGGTTTTGTAGAGTAGGGGGTGCACTCACGGCCATAGGAATGAGAGAGTTCTCAAATTTAGTATAGATGGATATAAAGTCATTAAAATACAGTTCCATAATGACCACAATGCTGTGAAAAGAATAATCAGAAACCTGCTGGCACTTACAGCTCTCTTTAGTTTACAGTTTATCATAGTGCAGTAACAATTATTATGCATTTCAAAGAATATTAGTCCACACCACAACCTAATTATAACAGCACAGAGGAACGAATCACTTTCAAAATATTTTTTTCCAGCTAATAATAAATGATAAAAATATTGACAGCCAATGAGAATCCATTCTGTTTTAAAGCGCTTGAGCATTTAAAGTGGCAGATGGCATAACTAAGTTTTCTCTGTCATTGTGTTTGCAACTGCATAGGACCAAATCTCTGATTTACATGGGAGAGATTGTACTATATCAAGTCACAAATGGTTAAAACTGTGTACAAGACATGGGTTAAAAAAAAAAGCTGCATCTTATAAGGAAGGACATTCATTTAAATCTCATTCGGGAGTAGTGTGACTAATGCTTGATGGTATTTTTTATTTCACTTGTCTCAAAATGCAGAGAAATGCATGTATACTATACAAGTAGAAATGGAAACTAGGTGTCTTAATTGTTCCTAAAAATGTGAATTGCATCTTGCAGAGGATGATGGGAGTAGATGGTGTTCCCATGGTGAATGGCTCAGGGGTTCATGGGGGAGAAGACTATCAACACTGGATGGAGACCAGAGCCGCACACGAGAAACCGGCTCACAGACACGGTGGAGAGACCTTCTCCAACACCCTGCCTGTCCGCAAGGTTGCGCCTGTAAAGCCCAAGAATACTTTGGGTAAGTTAAGGGACTTACCTTTCGGCAATGCAAACAGTAACGCTCTGATCATGACATCTGGAAGATTTTTGTACTGTTTATTCAATACCCAGAATCTCTATATGACTTAATAAGCCGCCGTCTGTATTTATAGCTGTGTCAGTGTCTGTGCACTTGTGTGTTTCTCTCTCACTCTCTCCTTGTGAAAGAAGTGATTGTTCCTCTAGTGAGTGGACAATAACAGGGCAAACACTGCTGGAAATTAAAACAGGGCAGAGCAGGTGGGAATAGAGAGGACAGTTTTAAAAATGGATAGAAAATAGGTGAAGGGTATAGTTTCTCTTCGAGGGAAGTATTTTTAAGAAGGAGCGGAAACGAACTTCTTAATAAGCGGCGTTCACGACCTTTAGGTGGAATTTTAAAAATGTTCCTAAACCTACTTAGGCAGCAATGAAATCTTGTAAGGCAATTCAAGTAGTCCTAAACGGATTCCAATAGTTTGACGTTATTATGTTAAAACAAACATTCTAAATGCAAAAATACAATAAATATATACATAAATATTAGATCAAATATTTAATTTGTAATCTATTGGATTGTATGATACGTTTTGAATGAAATGTACGTAATTTTTCTGTCATTTTTCTTCTTGCATAGTTATAAACAATTGCTCACTATGGTTTTCTAATCTGTGACCCCAGCAGAGACACAGACCCTCCCCAGGTCTAGCTCAATGGCAGCTGGGCTGGAGAGAAATGGACGGACACGCGTTCAGGCCCTCTTCTCTCATGCCGCTGGGGACAACAGCACACTCCTCAGCTTTATGGAAGGAGACGTCATTACACTGTTGGTGCCTGAAGCCCGGGACGGCTGGCACTACGGCGAAAACGAGAAAAACAGAATGTACGTGTCTTGTGGTTAACTTCACAATACAATTTGTCCATGCATACAGAAAAACAAGCACATTTTTAATTTAAGAATTTGATGAACCAGAGAAACTGCTTCAAATTCCACGTTGTATGTGTCCTATCAGGAGAGGCTGGTTCCCGTTCTCCTATACCCGCGTGATTCCTGAACCAGACAGCAATAAACTTCACATCAGGTGAGTTTGTTTGAATATTAATGCATTTACAAAAGCCCTTTCAATGTTTAAATGCCATTTAATATTGTGCTGGCACAACCTATGAAATGCATTTAGAGAACTACGTCATGAGCTGCATAACACCATAAAGCATGCAATTGAGAAAGGCTTTACTGTTGACATGACCAATCAAACCTGACCTTGTTTTGTTTTGATTGATTCATCAGTGCATGTTATTCCAAAGAGAACAGCCTTCGTAACCTTTAATTCAAAATAAAATGCCTTGCTCTTCTTCTGATATGATTTTCCTTTTTTACTAATGTCATTTGGATGATGTTAATATTGTCATAATGCTATAATTAGCTATTTAGGTCAAATTTTAGCAATTGTGCATTACGTTTGGCTCTATTCTAGTACACAACGCCCACTTTCTTGATCCAGTCATTCCCAATGGATAAAATAAAGTCCTAAATTTTTCACGCTACAGAAATGAAATCTAGTTAACTAATAGTGTGTATATGTGTGTGTTTGTAGTTTGCAGCATAGCAGGAGCAGCAGCACAGGAAATCTTCTGGAGAGAGAGATGGCGTTGCCGACACCTGATTACGGCATGCCCACACGCTTCCTCACCCAGCAGCAGAGCACACCACACAGCCGACAGAGACCATACAGCATGGCAGTGCCAGGATTCTCACAAGTAGGCTATGCACACACACACACATCCTGCCTATTCATAATGCAGTGTCATTCTACATATAATACAAAATTATTAACCTTGATAGATGTATGGAGATATCAGTATAGCTTTCTATAAAAATGTTAACAGTACTGAAGCATTAATCACCTTACGTAGACATTTATCAGACATGCTGAAATATAGCGGGGCGACAGTTCGATTAATGCAGCCCAATCTCCAGCTAACCGCATAGAGGACGTTCCAGGACATTACCCTAAACCGAGATCAGTTTCCACCTGTGACCATGTGTTATTTTAACAGCCTGAGCCCACATTAGAAAAGACCTGCCCTGTTTGATTAAACTTCCCTTTGAGAGGCCATTTTGGACATTTACAAATAGATGGGTTTGGAGTGGGAACAAAGAGAAACGACTGCAGTGAGAGAGCGGGTATTTGTCTTTGGAGGTCTTCACTTTAAATTAAATGCGTTTTTATACAGGTACAGATACATACAGCAGCCTTAGAACAATTAAGCTATTCTTCAAATGTATTTGTTTCAATATTTCAACCTGGATTTCACCAGGAAAATAGCTATAGAAGCTGGCATGGCGTTACAAACAAACTAAATCTAGTGTTTGTCTTTGGCATTTAAAACCATCATTTATTTTTGAGAATGGTTTGAATGAAAAACATGTTTGTGTACTACACTTCTCTGAAATAATTATACTTGCAATGGCTTGCAATGACTTAAATATGTATGAATAAACATGCAAATACTTTTTTAGTATTAAAAGAAGTAGGGCTTTGTTATGTAACAAAGCCAGCAACAAACATCTCATCTCAACTCTCTCATCATTACCCCCGGGTCTCCTCCTTAGTGCATTCAATTAATTAAGTTTTGCTTGGGGAAAAAAAGGACATGTATGTCTGTTGTGTTTCTCTGTTCTCCCAGAGTCAGTGCTCAATTGGTTCCGGTTCAGGATGCACTCAATGACCTCCTTTTTATTCCTGGTTACAGCTAAATGCTGTAATTATCATCAATACTGCAGTTCATAAGTGTTATGCATTCTTCTACTGCCGTCTACTGGGCATTCGAGGAAAAGTAGATGACTAAAAGATGTTCTCTTTTTCTTCACAGCAAGGGTTGGAGGAGTACGAGTCTCGATTCCAAACGAGGTAAGACCTAAATTTTTACTTACATGTCAACTGAACAGAAACAGTATTTAAAAAAGCATATTAGTTTGTCTGTAAGTTCTTTCTTTGTTTTCTTTTTATTTGACTTATTCTTCTCTGGTTTTGTTTGAATTTAAAAATCCCACATATTTTGAATTTTGATTATGGCAAGCAAAAAAAGTCTTGTTTGCTTGACCTGCAGCCGGAACAGACGAACATAGCTGACGTTTCTGAAGGTCTAGCCCAAACATAAGGTGGGCGGGTGACCAAACGGCACCTAAACCCATATTGAACAAGGCAGAAACCTCTGATTGTTTAAATGGGTTTCATAAACCTCGCAATAATATACTGTAGTTAGTTGTTTTTGGTCTTTTCCCATAGATGAGAGCCATACCTACTCTCTTGAACATGGTGTAGCCGTACTTTATTAATTTGAATGAACCTTTTTTTTTGTATTGTACAAAGTACCTTGTGTGACATCACTATAATAAATAAATAAATAAACCCTTCTGGGTCATCTATGGGGAAGACCATTCCCAGCTTTTATTGCAAATTCCTTTAGCATCACAATTTAAAGCAGATATAGATTAAATATTTTTAAATATTTTATTTTTCCATTTAAGTTGCCATTCCATTCTTGCTTTTGCTGTCCATGTGTGTTTGTCTTAAAGGGGTGGTTCATTGCGATTTCACTTTTTTAACATTAGTTAGTGTGTAATGTTGCTGTTTGAGCATAAACAATATCTGCAAAGTTACGAAGCTAAAAGTTCAATGCAAACGGAGATATCGTCTTTTAAAATTCTGGCATTTTAATGTCTACAAAAACGGCTGGTAGGGACTACAACGAGTTACTTCCCGGGTTCGTGACGTAACAAACCCAGATAAACCCTCGAGAAAAGGCAGCAAAGGGGGCGATGCCATGCTGCGCTGCTTTAGTGAAGAGGAAGAGAAAACTAGAGGTGCACGTAAAAATCTGTTCATATATGAATCACAATTCTGTCTTCTAACGATTCTAATGGATTCACAGGATTCAAAATCAATGTTCAAAAGCAGTGGTTTTCAATACAGCTTTAATCAGGATAAAACCGTATATTAAAAGCTAACATAAGCAGTAGCATTTACAAATAACAGCACATCTAAATGTATGAGACAACAACAAACAAAAAACATAGGCCTACCATTAAAAGCCGTGCTTGCACAGGTTCTGCATGATCCTCTTCAATAATATAATCTGCTTCTCACTCGGGCTCAAACTGATAAGCGATATTAACGATGCCATTGTTTACAATACAACCGGAGCACATGCCGCTGAGGTGAGGGGCGGGACATTTAGACGCACACTAAGCGGTTTAGCCAATCACAACACACTGGGCTAGCTAACCAATCAGAGCCCATCGCCTATTTCTGAGGGCGAGTATAACCCCTCTCTCCCGGGTCCTCTCCGCCACACCTCGTTCTCGCTCCGAGTGGGTCTCCGGCATGGGAGGCGGACGCACTAACAAGGAGGCTAAAGACTGCAGCCTCTAGCGTCAGTCGCTAGTGCATCTCTTGAGATCAGGGGAGTGAGGTTTACTTGCACAGCACCTACTTCCTGGCCTCCGTTACACTCACCCCCCTAAGCCTCACTCCCATCCGGGTCACGGCACCAATGTAACCCCTCTCTCCCGGGTCCTCTCCGCCACACCTCGTTCTCGCTCCAAGTGGGTCTCCGGCATGGGAGGCGGACGCACTAACAAGGAGGCTAAAGACTGCAGCCACTAGCGTCAGTCGCTAGTGCGTCTCTTGAGATCAGGGTAGTGAGGTTTACTTGCACAGCACCTACTTGCTGGCCTCCGTTACACGAGGCTTCATAAAAACAGGAAAAGATCAGCCCGTTTCTCAGAGAAGGGACAGAGCAGTGTGGAGTAAAGGTAAATTATGTGAAAAATAATGTGTTTTTTTAAAACAAAGCATTAACACATGTTAGACTGCACCCCATAAATACAATCATGCCTAGAAAAAACCCAGTGAACCACCCCTTTAATTAGTCTTTTAGTGTCTTTTGTTCCAATTTTAATTTCTGTAGGGAAATTCATGAGAAGCAGTGTTCCACATGCTACCCCCAATATTTTCAATACTTGTAGTTCACTTTATACCTTGCTGTACACCATTTAGATTTGACCCCCATGATGCATTTAGAACAATGGGCTCCATTTGTCACAATACATGTGTGTGGTTTGGTTTAAGCTTTTTCTGATTTCTGATTAGAACACATTTGAATTGTTTACATTTTACTTCTGAACCACACACACACACGTGACTTGTAGGAAATGCAGCCCATCACTTGTTTGTAACGTCCATTAATAGAGATTAGTATTAGCAGTAACATTAAAGGGATAGTTCACTCAAAAATGAAAAAAAAGTTATCTTTTACTCACCCTCATGTCATTACAAAGGACATTGTTCCTTCCTTGGACCACAAAAAAGGTTAAAAAAAAACAAAATTTCCTGTATTCATAAATCTCATGAACCCTGTTAAATGAATCTGACTGATTTGGTTCTTGAGTTCAACTCTGAAGGGAAAGGTTATCAGTGCACAGTGTAAATTTCCATCTGTTTCTCACCCAAACTTGACGTAATTGGATCCAGAACTCTTGCAGTATAGTGCACAAGTCGAATGGACTAATTTGCCCGTTAAGCTGCTGTCCTCGTTCAATGAACCTGGGAGAAAAAGAGAGCACCAGTACATTGGTGTTCCACATAAAGAAAGTCACACAGGTTTGAAACGTATAAGTAGATGATGACCATTTTCATTTATGGGTGAACTATTCCTTGAACATCAGTGCTTTATGCTCTTTGTGCTTCAATGTGTCTGTGTCCAAAGCCAACCTGGCAGCATCTCCCTCTCTTTGTTCCACAGTGCGGAGGGCAAATTGATTTCGACAGTGTGAGAGGACAGACAAACACACAGACACCACCTTCACCTCCGTCCACACACACTCCCCTGTCTTCCTTTAGCTCTCAACAATCCATCCCCCTTCACTCCACCCTCAGAGGAAGAGGGTCTAAATCCACCCTTCCCACCTTCTAGTTCCCTTATTTTATCCCAGTCGGAAGCAGCCTAACGGAACCGGAATGCTGAGTATTCCATGCTGACCTTCCTCATTATATGCTCCTAACATGAAAATGTTGAACTTACTTTAGAAAACATGTTGAATTGTCTATCTCTTGCCTGTCTTTCATGCATGTACATGTCAACAATGTATAAATGCATAATTTTTGCCATCCAGGGGTCCACGGATTTAAAGGAATAGTTTACATGAAAATGCAAATTCTGTTGTTTACATGATTTTATTATATTATTTTCTTCTATGGAACACAAAAAGACTTATTTATAAGATCGAAGAAGTGTTTTCTTTACTTGCAATGAAAGTGAATGGTGACCAGATTTTCTCTGAACAAAATGCTTTTTGTTTAGTTTTTTTTGGGTCATTTTGGAGTTTGACAGCAACTGGACCCCATTCACTTTCACTTGAGGGAAGAGAACAGCTCAGAAATCTAAATTTCTTGTTTTGTTTTTTTTTGTTTCTGTGGAAAATAGAAAAGTTGTATAGGTTTGGAACAACACGAAGGCGAGTAAATAAATTTTTTTTGTTGTTGAACAAAAAATCTTAAATGAAAACCAATGTGGTAATATGATTAAATTTATTGTTTGTAACAATACCGGTGGGTTTATCAAAGTATAAATGACTGTTAATAATGAAACTCAGCTGATAAAGACCATATTCTGTACATTGGTAAGTTTGCATATTTAAAAAAATTATAATAATATATATATATATATATATATATATTCAGGTGTTTTTTTAATTATTCCTTTTACATTGTACAATTGAATGAAACTGATGTAATTAATTAACCACAACTTTCAGTGTTTTTCCATTTCATTGTTTATATCGCTAATGTAAAGGGTCTCTGTGATCTCATAATATCTCACCTGGAGTCCCTTCAATGAAGTATCTGTTCATTCATCAGGACAGTGATTTCTGATGTGCAGTACACACTTAACCTTCCCTGGGTCTCAATTGAAGATTGCGTTTGAAACCTAGAAGCAAACCTAGAAGTTGAATTGGAACAAATTCTTTAAATATAAATGACAAAAAATGGGTTGTTTCTGGAATTCATGGTCCATGCATGAAATAAAAGACAACTGGTACCTACATATCCATGTCTGAAGCAACAAGCAGTGAGAAGCTGTAACACATGGTAACGAGCGGCTCATTGCTTGTATGAATATAAGCAGAAAGGAATGAACAATATAGTTTTAGTCTAGGCCAGTTACGGTTGCCAAGAGACATCTCAAATTTATTAATGTAGAATGTTTAGCTCATCCAATCAGATTTTAGAATCGGAATCCACTGATGTTTGTGTTGCAGTTGTTTCAGCGATACATCCATATTAATGATGTGCCGAGTCTTAATATTAATATAATCTAAATGACAAAAAATGGGTTGTTTCTGGAATTCATGGTCCATGCATGAAAGAAAAGACAACTGGTACCTACATATCCATGTCTGAAGCAACAAGCAGTGAGAAGCTGTAACACATGGTAACGAGCGGCTCATTGCTTGTATGAATATAAGCAGAAAGGAATGAACAATATAGTTTTAGTCTAGGCCAGTTACGGTTGCCAAGAGACATCTCAAATTTATTAATGTAGAATGTTTAGCTCATCCAATCAGATTTTAGAATCGGAACTATCCACTGATGTTTGTGTTGCAGTTGTTTCAGCGATACATCCATATTAATGATGTGCCGAGTCTTAATATTAATATAATTCATGTGATCCAGTGCCTTGTACATAGCACACAATATTTGTAAATACTTTAATTGATAATCGAATGTTAAATTGTAAACAGGAGTATTTCTGATTTTTTTCTTTGACATGGATGCATTGTTAAATTTGGTTCAACAAGATCCCTGCGGATCCCTGTACAGCTTTTAGATTCGAAACATATGTAAAAACAGCAATAATCAAATTTGATACCATACTTTTTGGTTTAGTATCAATTTAAATATGATAATTTATGCTTATAATACACTTACACACCACTTGTGTGAGTTTTAAAGCCTTTTTCACAGGAGTGAAAGCTGAAGTCTTTTAGTTCCAGTGTTGTAATGTAATCAAGGAACTGATTAAATGCTTCGAAATAGCCTTTTTCATAGAAACAAAATGCTTATGATTAAGCTATAAAAGAGACAGTTTCTCTGAATTGATAGAAACACCACATTGCTTGTCTGGTCTAGTAATTGTTTAAAGGTGCACTGCTCTATATTTTCTCTGTATTGTGCTTGAAAAGTCGATTTATCGTTGTACATGAAGGTGATGCACAATTAAATAAAAAGCACCTTCATTATTACCACAAAGTATGCGTGGAGACGTCCAGATTGTACACTTGCTTTCACTTTTCTCATGCTTTCCCGCACCAAAGATCCTGCCAGGTTCTTTGTGTCTGTCTGTCTCTCCTATAGTTTTTTTTTGCTTTTGCACTGTTTGTCTTTTTCTGTGTGTAACTAAACCAACGTCTTGCTGTAGCTCTGCCAACATGCTCCATCTCTGTTTTGATGAATTTAGAGACAAAAGCAGTAAGGTGTCAAGGACTGGAAGCCAGTGCCAGTGTTTCTTCTTTCTGCACTAGAGTAAAGACCATGGTACAGCCGCCACGCTCAGAGAGAGCTCCACCTCTGTCATGATATTGATGTCGTTTTCTTCCAGAATGCCCATTTTTGGATGTAAAAGGAGAGAAAGTACAATAATTGTACAGCAAAGTATATACACTCCAATATGCATGTACTTTGGGCGACATCAGAACAGTGTAATGTTGCTAAATGACCATGTGACTTTCTACTCTTGAAAAGATGAATAAACATTTCTTCAGATTAAAGCGGTGTAGTCATTTCTTAGCTTGAATTTTGTGACTTTATGGTTATTGCCATGAATAGAATATGAGATTGTCGACAATTGAATTCATTTGTCTCTAAATTGATCTGTAATTGTGTAATATCTGCAGTTTTTGTGCTTGTCATAATGCTCAGATTGATCACTGCAGACACTATCAATCTGAAATGTAATACTGTTACATTCTTCATTTAGAACGCAGCTTTTACTGTGCTACTCATTTTACTCTTATTAAACATGGTCAGGTTTTGAATTATACGTCAATGAAATGTTCAGAATAACATACTAACATAGTACTGTTCCCGCATTATATTTAATGTACATGGGCACAAAATTAGGGAGAGGAATTGTAAAACAATTTCATGAATCCGGTTTCGTATTTCTTTTAGTACTTTTTAAAGAATAAATACTGCCTAATGATGAACTAAATTCAATAATAAATATTTACAAATTCTTGCAAAATGGTAGATTTATGATGACTTTTTACAGTGTAGTCAGTGCTATTTTATAACTGGCCATTTTTAACAACACTAACATTACAAAAAAATCTAACAAATGTATTTGATCCCATAATTTGAAGCATTTTTGAAACTATCAGATGTCATAATTTTGACAGTCTGCTGAACTGATGTTCAGTTCACTGTAAAAAGTTGCTCTCCTTTGGTTTGTCCTTCTGAAGTTGATGATCTTGTACCGTTTTGTACCATTTTCTGTGAAAGTGGCTACTGATTTTTTTCTTTTTAAATTCATATAACCATTTACAGTATAGTTTCTTACATTAAATAAGGCAAATAGCCAAATTCCAGGCCTGTTCTCATTTTTTCAGTGTGGTTCCTGAATTTGAACGCTTTTGAGTGAGTAAACTATGCAGTTTTATCTCCATGATCATGTATAATTTTAATGTATAGGGGGAAAAAACTGAAAGAAAATCGCATGCTTCTCACATCATTGAATATCTTAATTTCAAATGGAAATGCGTATCATTTTTTAATTTTAAGCAAAGAGTAGTTTGTTAGTTTTAAATATATAATAATATGGTATAAAATGTATTGTGATACTTCATGGTTGTACAATTATTCAGTCATTAGTGTTCAAAATGCTTTTGGGGTCTCTGTATATTATGTATAGCACATCAGACTTATAACTAGGCCTGATTTTACTTCAGTTTCAGTTTCAGGTCCTCAGTCAGTGACAAAGCTCCAGCTTTCTAAAGAATTCAATTTACATGCACAATTTCATATTTGAATGCAGAATATGATGTGATCATTTCCTGACATGACTCAATATAGTGACTCTGAAATTAATCTTTTGAGCAGCCATGTGTGTGTAAATGACGCAGGGAAGAGACTGAAGTTGAATTACAATCAGCACGACTGAATAATCTCATATTTTATTTTATTCCCTCAAAAGTTAGGCTTCAAACCTCCTTTTTTAAATTCATGCTGCATGTTATATTGTCCCAAGATTTTTGGTAATAACCTTTAAGCATGCATAAAAAGAACAGCACGTCTGTCCGTTATATAATGTTATGGTTTGTATTTTTATTACTTCAGTTTCAGTTTCAGGTCCTCAGTCAGTGACAAAGCTCCAGCTTTCTAAAGAATTCAATTTACATGCACAATTTCATATTTGAATGCAGAATATGATGTGATCATTTCCTGACATGACTCAATATAGTGACTCTGAAATTAATCTTTTGAGCAGCCATGTGTGTGTAAATGACGCAGGGAAGAGACTGAAGTTGAATTACAATCAGCACGACTGAATAATCTCACATTTTATTTTATTCCCTCAAAAGTTAGGCTTCAAACCTCCTTTTTTAAATTCATGCTGCATGTTATATTGTCCCAAGATTTTTGGTAATAACCTTTAAGCATGCATAAAAAGAACAGCACGTCTGTCCGTTATATAATGTTATGGTTTGTATTTTTATTTTTTTAGAGTGAGGGATCCTCTCCAATTCACCACATTTGCGCTCACATCTCGCCAAAGACAAAGCAATTCCAACAGCAAGCAGAAACCCAAACTCATTATAACCGAAGACCTTGGATCTCGACCCCCTTATTAGGACATCAGTGTTTCAAACACATTTTTGCATGTCACATGGACTAGAACCTTCTTACAGCAAATTACCCACAATCCTCAGTCAAAGCAACAGAAGGCGATGCTCTGAGCTTCTGGTCATTCAAGTATTGCCATTGCTACTAATTGATGATCCATTTTAAGCTTGATTTGTTTTTTGTATATATAAAAATGTACAAATGTAAAAACATATAGTAAGAACTTTTTACTTTTAGAAGACCTCAAGAACGTCTGTTTGGTCCATTGAAGAAAAATACTCAAATGACCAAATGTAAGCATGATTCTTTTCTTTGATGGGGTTTCGTCTCATTCAGGACATATATGTAAGGTTCTGTAGAAATCTGCTGCCCTCCTGCTACCATACATTTGTTTAGGGTCTGCTGCACTTTGAATCAAGAGAGAAACAACTTGTTTTGAATTTATATTTGAACAGAAATGCACCTCTTCACTTGATATAAACACATTTTATATGATATATTAAGTACTAAGATTGTAGATCTTACTGTAGAGATTGTAGTTTCATATCACTATCATGATTCTGGTGCTTGTTCATGTCCAACGCAAAAGGTGCCATTTTTTTTGGTTAGTAATGACTTAAATGCGACGTAAACCATATGGCTTCCGAAGACCTATACAACAGCCCTACTTTTTCTCCTTTTGGAGTATTTATTTTAAGGTAAAAGAATGGTTTGCAAAGTCTGCTAAATGTTTTACTTTTGTATTCCACAGAACAAGAAAAACACACATCAAGCATCATGAACATATTTAACTTATGAAGAGGTGATTCGTTAAAGAACGGTGAAATTTCACAATTTTAACACATTGTAATCTGCACTTTTAGTAGCAAACAGCCAAGATTGGCAGCCTTTCCTAAACGGTAATAGTGAGCATATACTTTTAGCCACATTTCCAATGTAGCAAACAAGATATCACTTATAGATATCATTTTTTGCAGATACCAAAACTTCAAGATCTCTTAAAAAGGGTCAAGAGGATGTCTTAAAGCCATTCTCCTCTCTTTTGTATCTCAATTAAACTGTCTATTACAAAGATGGTTCTTCAAACACGGCCTCCTCCCTATTTTTTTTTTCAACACAAATCCACTCGGTATTCATACTTTCTTAATAACTCCACCCACTCACTCACTCACTCACCCACCCACTCACTCACTCACTCACTCACTCACTCACTCACTCACTCACTCACTCACTCACTCACTCACTCACTCACTCACTTATTCTCTCATTAATTCTTCCATATGCGTGCCACAAACTGAGGCTTTTAAAGCCTTTCAGTAACACGTATCACCTGTGTTCACTCATTACCCCAATCCACATCAATTAGTTAATTAGTGGGTTGTATGAACCAAACAGCACCAGAAAACTGAGAAAGAAAAAGTTTTCCAGAATAACTTAATAACCAAATGAAAATATGTAGCAATACTCAATGTTTATGAACACTGTATAGTGATTATGTGTGTTCTTATACTGTATGTATATGATGTAAATATTGTGTGTGAACAGAGTGAGAATGGAAAAACTGAGTATGACTAGATAGAGAATTTGTATGATCCGTTTCGGAATGAGATATTTTTCCACCAGCTCTATTTTCTTCCATTTTCTTTGTTTTTTGCACTTGTAAGTGTCATATTAAACAAATAATGTGTAGAAAGACTAATAAAACAGCCAGTTGTATAAAAGTGAGGGTTACCTGTGTATGTATCTTACTTATCCTGCTAAATCATCAATACGAAATGTTACAGTTATGCTGTTATCTAGCATTTATTATGTTGAATCTGCTTTTAATGTGTTGTAATTAAAGTTATACATTAAAACAAAAACTGCAAGAGAGAACCGCCAAACAGAATCGTTTTATTTTTCTCACTAAATTTGTGACACATTTGAGGAACAGAATTACATACACTCTCGCTTAACAATATACTGCGACTCAAAACCATCGTAAGGGCAAAGTCCCCAAGAAAAATCTGTGAATCCGCCGCTCTGAATCAGAATTTACGGGACGCAAATCCGGCTTGTGCCACATCGACTGATACATTTCTTTGGCAGAAAACACATATTTTCCCTTTACCTCCCAAGTGCCCATTTGATCTTTCAGCAGTTTAAAATTGTTGAATCAAATACAAAAATAGTACAGACTGTTGTCTAGTTCAATCCAAGCTAGACGATTACATAGAATAAACGCCTTCACAGGCAAACGAACAGAACATATCGAGAGTAGCGTATTGAGATTTATGCTTGGTCGGACACACAGAAGTGTGCAGGTAGCATCGAGTCCCTCTGTACTGTACACGGTTCTCAGTCACATCAGCAGGCTAGCTCGTCCTCCTTTGATCACGTCCAATTTGTTGTTTCCCAACCATATGAGAAAAAAAATCACAATATCATATGTCCATTTTGTTCAGCAGTTTAAATTGCTCCTATTAGTCCATTTTTATAAAGTCCAACAACTACACATGACACGTTGCAGCTTGCAATGCTGAAAAGCATTGATCTGTTCTTCAAAGTTCAAGGAAATATAAAACATGTTGACTAATAAATAACACTCTTAAGTATATGATTAACACCCTGATCATAATACAACCCGGCTTCAATCTTCAAAGGTAGCAAGCATGTACAGCATCATTTAATACACTCTTAAAAATAAAGGTGCTTCACGATGCCATAGAAGAACCTTTTTGTCTAAATGGTTCCATAAAGAACCTTTAACATCTGAAGAACCTTTCTGTTTCACAAAAGGTTCTTTGTGGCGAAAGAAGGTTCTTCAGATTACAAAAAGGTAAGAAAGAGATGGTTCTTTAAAGAACCTTTGACTGAATGGTTCTTTGTGGAACCAAAAATGGTTCTTCTATGGCATCGCTTGAAGAACCTTTTGAAGCACCTTTAT